ACTATCATGTTCAGCCTTCATTTGGGTTTCAGTAACTCTTCTCGGTTACATTGCCCTTGATCAAGCCCTACCAGGCCTCCTTCACCCTCCTCGCCATCAATTTTAAATCATTTGTTGTTCCCTTGTCCCTGGGGTTGTTAATACCCAATTCCTATCCCCCACCTCCCCCTCTCCCATGTCCCCACTGGAACCATCGATCCCATTGTTTTCTCCTCCAGCTTGTTTATCCAGCCTATCTTATCTAGATAGACCTGCAGAGATAAGATTATGCACACAAAAATAAGACAGAGCCAAGCAAAGCAAGAAAAGAAAACAAAACAATAACAACAAAACAAACAAACAAAAAAGAAGGGCCTGTAAATAGCTCACGGTCTGTTGACCTTTAGGAGTGTTTTCCGGTGGAGTCTAATGGGGTGCCACACCCTGGCCCCAAAGTCTATTTTTGGTATTCCCTGGGGACTTCATTGTTCTGTTCCCCTTGCTGTTCTGTTGCACACCCTTAGTGTTTTGCTTCAGTGTGGTGGGGTCAGATTGGGCGCAATTCTCGCACTGTTTCTTCAGTGTTGTCCCCCGTAACTCTATGGGTCAGTGAGGGACATCGAGTCTCGTAGTGGAGCTGGCCCTATGGTCATCTCTGTGCTTTGGCTGCTCTGAGCGGGAATATCATCCTCAGGGCTTGGTGGGCGAGGATGTGTTCCACTCTCTCTGCCTCTCCCTTCATTTGCTCCCGTGTTCTCTGATCAGACATATCCCTCTCCCTGAGCTGTAGCTTCAGTGCTGTCCTCTGAGGTGAATTCTTCTGCAGGGAGAGGGGGCTGTCCACCAAGTTGGGATTGGGGCCAGTCCTTCAGACCTCTCTATTGGTTCCCTGCTTCATGCCAGCATGTTGCATTCACGTCTTGGAGCACTGGGTTGAAGTCTGATCCCCTTTCCCTGTGGAGATATAAACAATATCCTCCCCTTGGGTGGGTTAGTGCCCTGTTCCCCTTCTACCCATGTCTTTTTCTTTCTTTTTTTTCTCCCCCCTCTCTTTTCTAGTTGGCTACCATATGTATCCCTGGATTTGGTCTGGCCCCTGCCATACTACCTGGACCTCACCCTAGGAATGTTTATACACAGTAGCTTTTTCCCTATGTCCCTTTTGCATTTTTAATTTTACCTCAGCAGACTCGTGTTTTGCTTGTCCTTTTGTGCTTGGCTTACTTCGCTTAGTATGATTTCCTCCAGTTCTTCCCATGCGGCGATGTGCTCTCTGCGTTCATCACTGCTTTTTAGGGATGCGTAGTACTCCAGTTTTTTAATCCATTCATCTGCTGATGGAAATTTGGGTTGTTTCCAACTCCTTTATGCAGTCTGTTTTATTAACACTGACCCTTCTGTTTGTAATTCTTGTCACTTTTCTATTTTGTAGTTGATTATATTACTATCACCTTTGACAGAAACAGGACTCTGAGTGAGGTATGGTATTGAATAGTTTAAAAGGTAAGAGATTTTGTTGTGCATGGGTTCATGAATTTTTATTAATCTTTAAA